TCTGTGGCGCCGTTGTACGAGCCGCCACCGCGCCGCCTGGAGCTTGACCATTTCCCATGCGGCGGTATGTGGGCGTTATGTAGGGAGGCGCAGGTACCCGTCGACTAGCAGAAAGCGCGGCGAAAGCCAAAGCAATAGACCTCGCACCGGCGGGGCGCTAGCCCACCGAGCTGGGAGGGCGTTGTGAACGTGGTGGACGATAGGATAACACAGGACGGTCGTCAACACCGCGTGGCAGTTGGGCATGCGGAAGCGGGAGACATGGAGCGCTCCGGGCTGAGCGGCGTACCGGCACGGAGGAAATGAGACCCAGTTGAATGAGACCACTTTGGGCCAAATATCGAACTCTCGCGCACGCACAGTAGCAGCCAAGTGAGCCACGGCCGAGACCTGTCAATGTCTGGAGGGAGCATCCCTTCTGCAAGGAACCGAGGAGCGCAGTGTCACCGTGTACACTACGAGCGAGGAAAATTTTTGAGGTTGCCGCCGGGCCGCTGGATCCGGGGCACTGCACGGATGGCCTTCTCCTCTCCATGTATTTGACTTTGAATGAAGTTTATGCTGCAGGTTGTAGTGGCGCCTCCGCAGAGACTGACGCGGATATGGTAGGGTTCTTGGTTGCAAACCTCAAATCTCGATGTGGTGGCCTGGCAAGATTGGGGAGGCGGCGGCTGTGGACAGGGGACCCCCTCGTGGAATGCGCGGCTGGAAATGAGCGATGGTGGATGGCAGCCGCCGTGAGTCCCAGCTTCCCGGCTGAGGTTGGTGGTGCCTCGTAGATCCGGTCAGGTCCAGGCTCTCGCCGTGGATGTCCAACGCGTTTGATGGCAGAGGCATACTGGGTAGCAGACATGGCAGGAACCCTCCCTTGAGACGAACTGTTTGTGGTGTTATGGACTACTTGTATGCTCTTTTCCCGGGCGACGTTGGTGATGAGAGATGCGGTTGGGTGCATGGAAGCGACGGCCTCTATCGGTCGATAATTGAGACGGATTCAGTCTAGACGCAGTCGAAATTCCTTCTTCGGGCCACGTAGGGCAGCGGGTGACGACGACTCAAGCAACAGAGGCTGATCGAATCGGGAAATGGTGTCAAAATGTTTAATGGGATCAATGGGAAAAGGGCGCACGGAAGTTGGATAGGGGAAGCCGAAGCATGGATGCAAAGTGAAGACGGAAAGAAGACAGCAGAATGGCGAACAGACGGCATTCCGGCCTGGCACCAAGGATGGCCCGGCCACGAGTCGCTATTTTTACTGGGAAGGACGGACGAGCACATTCTGACAGCCGGAAGGATGACTGGTCACAGACAGCGTCTTGTCCCGCCGTTTGCCGTGGTGGGCAATCTATGGTCAGGGCAAGAGCGACTGCCACCTAGATGAGGTGAATTGCACGAGGAAGGAAGAATGGGCCAATGTGTTCGCCTGGTTCTTGCCATTGCAGCAACTTTTCTGGTGTTTTTCGTTTTGTGGGGGTGGGCAAAGCACTGGGAACCAACCTGCAGAGTCCGCCTTGGCCCCTTTTCCAGAACCGACATGGTACATGATTGGCCCTTTGCATCTACCCGTACAGGACAGGTCAATTAATTGCACCTGCCAACATTTCACAAAATCCCTCTCCTTGGCGATGCACACGAGATGGATGTGCATGCATGTTCATCTGGATAATGCCAGGCGGTGGGCCCTCGTTTGCATTCCGTCATTCGCCCGTCCCGCCGCGAGGGGTATGTTGCTCTCTTTCTGGGGTCCTCTCTGGAGTGTTGTCGGTACAAGAGCGTCTGCGACTCTGCGAGTCCGCATGCTGTTGGCGAGTGACGACAGACTGGAAATAGAAACGCAAATGCTTGTCGAAAGAGTTTGTGCCAGGTGAGAGAGAAGATCAACCATGTGGGCTCTCACCTGAAGACAGACGAACGTATGGCCCCCACAACTCCAGGCGCAGCACCGCGAGCCGGACATTGGAACGCAATGCGCACGCTGCACACCGCACGCCGCACACGCACCAAGCCCAGACGAGGGACCTCAAAAGTCAGACCCCCAAGAGACGCACATAACAAGTCAACACTTGCAGGGGAGGTGATTCCCAATAGGGACACTGAGGTGGTCATCTCCCGTCTGCCTTGGCTCGAAGTGCGGACAACACACACTTAGTGAACCACAGATCCGGCCTCGCATCAGAGACAATAATCCAGTCTGACGTGCTGCCCGTTCCAAGCCGGTGCCAATCGATGGCCGTAGCTGCTCATCCCTCGTTGCTACCCTGCCATGCCCGCCGTTCTAGACCACTCGCTGGCATGTTCAGTCAGCCGCCCATTCAAACGCCTACCCTAACTGTCAGTGGTCACCACGGTGTGTGTAAATACGCAGTGTGGGAGGAAACCTCGTTCACATCAAAACGACGTCGTTCCGCCTTATCCATTGAAGCATCCCGTACATAATCGCTGCAACGCTACCCGAGAAACGTACGGATAGTTCACGACAAAGTACGGTCTATGCCTGGGCCGATGCGACACAAGACACCCTCCCGGGGCAGTCCGGTTGGTCGACGCTTGAGATTGCGAGATGATAAGGTTGTTTTCCCTTTGTTCATGCTATCTCCCTACCTGCCTATATGCGATGAACTATCAGACTTGTGTTTATTCAAGCTCACTCCAATGCTCCGTACTCAGTCCACTCTTGATCCATACACTACGGGTACTTTCGAGGTATCCCGGACTCCCGCCCGGCACATGGAAATTGAAGAGTTGCTTTTCTTAGCGGATCCCAAAGCCGACGTTACGATGTCTAAGTACCTTATTATTGAAGAAAGTTAATTCTTTTTAAGTTATAAGTATAAGAATCCCCCCGACGGAGCAATCCGCCGGGGCCGTACTGTGTATTACGTATTGGGGAAAACTGGGTATATTGCGCTCTATACTTAACTACTAATCAAAATAGTAGTCAACCGACTTGACCATTGTCTCCCTTTCATCAACAGCTCCCAACCTTCCGCCGTGTGACCGCCTACAGGGCGAGCTTCACCTACTCCAACGCGCACAGGACCTCCTAGTACTAGCCCGCGTGGGTAGCCAGGTCTAGCATAATCTGTTCTTTTATATAGGTGTTATTATTACCCGGGGGGTCCCATAAGAGCCGTCTAAGGCGCCGGCTTATTGCCCTAACCCTATATACCTCCGGCCCGTCTATCGTGGCTATTATAGCCAGGCCGGTATTAATATGCCGGATCTTAGTATCCATACCGGCCTAGCTATCTACGGCGCTTATAATATCGCCTAGCCGAATTCCGCACCCCCGGAAGGTACTTTACTACTTCTTAGGCGTGCCTACGTTAGCTACGATAGCTATAGCGTCGAGCTAGCCGAAGAGGGCGCCCAGCCCGAGAGGGGCAGACTTATCGACGGGCATCTTTGGAGAGTTCTAGCCCACTAATTACTAACTGTATACTGGGAGAGTAGGTTCTTATCGAGGTAGTATTTTGACTAGCTAACCTCTTGACTAGTTATCTGACTAGCTATCCAGGTGGTGGTTTATGTATTAATAGGTTTATTTAGTAGATTTGTTTAGTTTAAATAGAGAGTAGCTTTGGGCGATGTTAGAAGCGATGAGGATAGAAAGAATTTTTGTGAGCTCTAAAAAGTAGTAAATATTAGCCTATTTGGCCCTTTCTCCGGAAACCTTTACGTTACTATTAAAGTTCAGAACCTCTGTAGTTGAGGAAGGCCGCCTCTAACTATTGCGGCTAACTATTGCGGCCGATTATTATGGTTAATTATTATGGCCGACCTCTACCGTTAACCTTTCTGGCTGGCGCCGCCGCGTGAAGGGTAGCTTACCTATCCCGAATTAAATAGTAGTTTTTATATTAAAATTATTATATTACGTTGAGTGCGTACTTAGGATATATTGCGCGTATTGTATAGTTAAAAAGTGTACTATATTGTGTAATTTCCCTTAAAAGCGTAATCCCGTTAAGGTCGATCTTTTATGCCTATAAAGCCGGAAAAAAAACTACTATATAAGTATAAGAATATAGTTTTAATAAAATAATATAATACTTACTTAGTATTTAAATTAAAATACTTTTTTAAGCTCGCTATAAAAAATAATAATTATATTATTAATTACTTATTATTAAAGTTTATAATTAGTACTATAGTTTTAATTATAATAACTTTACTTATAATAAGTAAAAAGTTTAATTATAAGTCCTTTAAAAGCCTCTTTTTAAGGGCTATAAAAGCCTCTAAATATACTAAGTTAAAATACTTATTAAAATATTAATAACTAAATTAACTTTATAATAACGGCCTTAATAAAAAAACTAAAAAACGAACTAAAAAATAATATTAAAATCCTTATTAATATTAAATATAATTTATAAAACGTAATAATATAATTATAAAGTATTAATAATATATTTTATATTAAAAAAACTATTATTAATATTAATAAAATAAATATGGCTATATTAATATAGTACCTCGGCTTCTTTTTATAGCTCAAAGACTATAGCCTTAAATAATATTAAAAATTTATTAAAAAGCTTTTTTAAATACTTTAATATATTTATTATTATTTTTATAATAATAAAACTCTTAGTATTTATATATAAGTATAAATATTTATTTTTAAATAATAATATTAACTTATTAATAAGTTATTAAAATTATAATTTTAGTAATTTTTTAATAAGGGAGAGGGTAAAATAAAAGAAAGGATAAGTAATTTATAAAAAAGGTTAAGGTTAAATAGTGCGGAATTCGAGGGTAGGGTAGCGTCTATATGTACTACGGCAATCCTCTAGTAATGCAAAACGATGGAGTTAAACAGTGGACGTTGCGATGTCAACCCGCAAAGCCCAAGGAAGCGAAACCTGTCAGTCCAGTGGCCCAGGACTCAAGCTTCCGTGAATTGACGAGGTACGTACTGCGTGCAACCCTAGGTAGCGACCCGTGCTCTCGTGAGCACCCGACCTCAACAGACAAGCGGGGTGCAGGCGCAGATGCAGGTCTGTTGTGGTTGGCAGTTGCTGTTGTGGTTGCGGGACGGATAAAGTGCAAAGGCAGGTGCAAAGGCAGGTGCAGAGGATCGAAAGTGCAGGCAGGCACAGGTGCAAGTGCGCGCCTTCTGGTGGTGGTGACCCAGGTGACGGTTCCATTGGACTGGCCAGGAGGGCGGCAGGCGCAAATATTGGCTCTTGCTGGCTGAGTGGCTTGACGCCAAATCTCCTCCTTGGACCTTCCCCTTCCCGGCCGGAGTTACACCTGCCTCCTTCCCCTGTCCCTGCCAAGGGTGGCCGGTTCCTTCTTTGAAGTTCTGCTGGGCTGTGGACCCATGGCCCATGGGGCCACGCCGCCGTCCACGAACCAGTCCAAGTGCCCACTCACCAAATTCTCAGGGCAGAACCAGGTCTCCGTCTCCCTCGGCGGAGCCAACATGCACCTCTTCCTCCAGGCTCAACCGTCGCCCATGACTCCATCCTGTCGCTGCTGCGAGAATACGACCCAGCCCGACCTGGACCCCCCAGCTGCCGTCCATGCATCGCACACGCTCCACTGAAGAAGCCCGTTCACAATCCACCTGGACCCGAACAGGAGCTGCCCGTGAATAATGCAGTAGGTCGTCTTTTGTTTTGCTGCCATACAAAATCAAAGTACTTCCTACCTACGCTACCTACGCTACCCAAGATAGGTACCCAGGATTTTTACGCGACTACGTTTTGGGCCCCCAAAGCCGCAAGTTCAAGCCCACTTCACTTGCACCGTCGCCATCCAACTTCCCCTGGACCCCTGCTACCCTGTCCGGCCGACCAAGTGTGCGCGCCTCCCACCACGCGAGCGAGCCAAGCCAAGCCAATATTGCTGCCAGCTTCCCCCCCAAATCGACCATCCATCCCGTCCCATCTTCGCCCGCGCTCGTCCACTCGTTGCTCCTTCTTAACCTCGTCCTCCCCCCAGCCAGAACCAGGGATCGTCGCCGCCTTCCAAGAGCCTCACCTTGCCTCGTCTTGCCCCTTCGCCAGACCAGATCCGACAGAGCTGATCGTCTCGACGACTCGACCACGGCGGGCAACTTCTTAATCCCCCTATCAAGTGCTACGGCCCACCTACTGGCGACCGACAGAAACTGCAAGCTTGGAAGCAACTGGATCTCGTTCGACTCGACCTCAACCGCCCCGAATTACCCCAATTGTGGACGCGAACAATCTCTCAAAGTCTTGTCGTCGACTGTAGCATCGTCGACTCGTCAACTTTTCGGCCATTAGGACCGATTCCATTCGTTTAACCGCCCATCCTCACCGTCGCCTTCATTGGTAGTCGAATCTGCAGCACCACAAAATCCGACCGCAAAAGTGTTCCACCCGTGCAGCCAGTGGAGTGGTGATCTTGTTTTTCCTTGGTGCTATAAAATATATCCACCATCGCGTGCGTGATCTGGTCGATCACCGGCTAGAGACATTCGGCGCCGATCCAACGTGGGGTTCTCTCGGCAAACACCAGCAATAATTGCCTTTTCCTACCCTATCAAAACTCCGTCGTCGAGGACCGCTCTTCTCGACTCGCCAGAACCACTGCAAGAGGGACCAGATTATGTTTGGTCTTGCCAACCTGCGTGTCGCAGTTTTCCCATGATGGCCATCATGTCGTTGTCATCCATGACCCGGCCACGGTCACTATGGCTTCTCCTATGCCTCACCATTGCCTCGGTGGTGTTGGCCGGCTCCGAACCCGTGCTGGAGGTTCTTCCCGCTCAGATCACTGCCCCCGCAGTGCTTCCTCCCATGGACGCCCTCGTCATTGACGACCGCACGCCTACGATGATCAAGGGTCGGTGGACCATGGTTCCGCCCGGGCACGACGAACTGAAGAAGCGAGACGACGAGGGCATCACGTTGACGCCCAGCACAGCCGACAAGGCGTCAGCTACTGCCGCCTCGACTACGCTGACCGTTTCCGTCACGGTGCCCGCTGCGACTGTGGACTCTGCTTCGCCCCTGCCGTCGCCTTTCGACACCAGTCTCGCCTTTAACTTTACCAGCAACGACGGCGCGTCCTGTCCCCGCTTCATCAACTCGCTCCTTACCAACCAGAACTTTAAAAAGTGCTACCCGTTGTCATTGCTGCTCCAGGTATGTTTATTGTTGTTCGTCGGTGTTGTACAAGAGCTGACTCGTCCAGGGCTCGAGATCCTTCTTTGAGGCTGAAAAGAAGCTTCTGAGTATTGTGAGGGTACTCGACGCCACCTGCGGCGCTGACGTCGAGTACTGCACAGAGTTCCTTACCGGTGTGGCCGGTAACCTAACGTTGGACGCCAACTGCGGCTCCGACTACCAGGCCGGCAACCCAATCGTCATGCAGGCCTATCTCGGCTTGAAATCGTACGAGATGCTGTACAAGGCTACCTGCCTTACCGACCCCGACACGTCCATGTACTGCTTCGCCAACGCCGTCACCAACCTCACCACGCCGTCCAACGTCTACTTTTACTACCTCCCACTCAACATGACTTTGCCTGCCAGTGCAAACCCCACCTGCGGCACGTGTCTCCGACAGACCATGGAGATTTACCAGACCTTCACCACAAACCGCAAACTCGCCATCTCGTCAACCTACGAGGACGCCGCGTCGCAGGTCAATACCATATGCGGACCAGAATACGTCAACGACACGCTTCTGGCCGCTGTCAGCACGGCAGGGCTGTCGGTGCCCTCCTGGGCTCTGGCGGCGACGACCATGACCCTGGCTCTGCTTTGCAACATGTTGTAAAGCGGTCGGGAGACTGCACTGATCGTAACGAGTCATGTTTTGAGTTATTTGATTTTCAGCAAGCGCCATGATACCCTCGACATTCTCTCGCATTTATTTCTCCTTCTAATGCCGCATCCGGCATCCGACCTTGTCGGTCTTCACATTACACTTAGTATTTAGTCTTAGTTCTATTCACGGCCGGATTTTGGGCAGAAGAAAAAAAGAGCCGGGTCCCAAGGGACGGCATCGGATGGCGGTTTCGTGATTATTGGCAGCAGCCGGAATTTGGGCATGGCGCATCCGCTGACTCGGCGGCATACATTGTCATATACGATGGCAACCACTGGCATCTGACGAGATGCTCTATATACTGTAATCTTCGCATGGTGCGACTGTTGATACTCTTCTCGTAGATACTTTCTAGTGGTGGTTTCACGTTGGTGCAGGGATGGATACGACGACCTGTCATGGTCACGTCAATACAACATGTAGTCAATACGCGACTCATTTGCTCAGTGATACTGCACGAGACCACACACAGGGTCGGAAGGCATTTACAACTTGACCTGCCTGTCTACACTTTTCTCCTGCTCCCTCAGCCTCCTCTGGACAACCTTCCACGGGTGAACCCCATCCGCGTACCCGACAAACGGGGCTCCAGGCTCGTACCCGAGCAAGTCCACCAGCCGCCTCGGCATCCCGGCCAGCTTGTCCCACTCGACGGCGAGGATCTGGTTCTCGAGGGGCCGCATCCAGGGCTGGCAGTACTGGATCGTCAGCGCCCTCCGGGGGTCGGGCGAGGTGTTTTCCCCGCCGCCGTGCCAGAGGGTGCCGAGGAAGAAGACGGCGCTGCCCTTGTCCATGACGACGGGGATGGCGTCTTTGCGCTGGGGGAGGTGGGCGGTGTCGGTGTCGGGGCCCCATGTGTGGGAGCCTGGGATGATGACGGTCGCGCCGTTTGTGGGGGTGAAGTCGTCGAGGGCGACCATTACGCCCTGTCGGGGATGTGTCAGTTATGGAGGATGAGGAGGAGGAGGAGGAGGAGGAGGAGGAGGAGGAGGAGGAGGAGGAGACAGTTGCGGAAAGGTAGGACGGGGGGTGTTACCGTCCCAAAGGGCCGATGGGGCCTCGGCACCCCGACGTAGCCGTCGTCGTGGTGCAGCGCCTGCGGGACCTCGCCGGGCTGGATGTAGACGCTGTGAAAGGCGTTGAGGAGAAAGCCCGGGTCGAGGAAGTGGTTGTTGAGCGCGAGGAGGGCCGGGTGGGTGGGGAACTTGTGGAAGACGGGGGACTTGTTGAGGAGGGCGTAGATGCGGTGGGTTTTGAAGCCTTCGAAGCTGTTTCTGCCGCCTGTGGTGGTGGTGCCGCTTGCGCTGGTGATCGGGATGCTGTCCTTGTCATTGGCATGGGCGGAGAAACCTCCCGCTGGCCCGGCTGTCTCGGGCGAGGATGTCAGGCGCACGATCTCGGCGTGGGCTTCGTCCGCTTCCGCAGCGGAGAGGGCGGAAGGGATGATCACGTAGCCGTGCTGTTCTACGTGGGCTATGAGGGCTTCGATGTTGGGGACGGCGGGCGAGGAGGTGGAAGAAGAGGGGGTGGTGGCGGTGTGCCGGGATAGGCGGGCGTCGGCGCCGGTTTGCGCGTTGACGAGGGCTTGGGCTCGGGATTGGAATGGCATTGTTGTTTCTCTCTGCGCGTGTGTCTCTTTCTCTGCGATCGTACTACCAAAAGTATTTCTTGACAGAGTGGGAGATGCGTTTTGGGGGGTTACCAGGGGGGGCCGCGACTTATACGTCTGTCGTTGGATGTGGTGTTATTCGGCAAGATGTGGGTCCGCCGAGGTCCCGGGAGATGCGACTTGAACGCGGGGAAGAGGTAGACAACTCCAAAAATCTAAAATGACGGGTTGGATTTGGAGATGGTGTGTGGGACTGCCGAAGTTTTGTGAGGAAAAACTACTGTCCGGAATGAACGGATCAATGTCACCGTTCTGCTGTTGAATTCATAAGACGGACGACTCCGTGAGATACTGGCACTCCAGCTGGAGGGCTCCGCGCTGGTGGAAAGCTTGGGCAGCTCCGATCGGCCCCACTTTTGCCCGGCATTTTGACTGCATGCAAGTAAAGTAGCTCTCTTTCATCTGGGTAACGTAGTGGTGCAGAAACTGTTGCAGCATAATTTTCTGTCCTACTCACGATCATAATCTAGCTTGTGACTTGATATAGGGTGCGAAACATTACTTGCTGCCGAAAACCCACTATCCTGTGCAATGCGTCCTTTTGTGCATCATTAACATGTCATACAATCATTACTCCAAGCGTAGCCCTTCGAGCTCCTTGTTCAGCACCTCCACAGGCCGGAATGTGCTTCGGAAGGGGCCCAGCTGCACAATCCTCACCGGCACGCTCTCTTCCTCCTTGTACTCCTTGCCGGCCGCTGCGGCTCGCTCGGCCTCGATCTGCGCCACGCTCTTCACCTCGGAAAAGTCCCCCTTGATGCCCGTCTTTTCCTCTCCCCAAATCTCAAAAAATGGATAGCCGTGGTTGGCATATGACTGGGCGTTGACTGGGGTGTCGGGAGCCGGCTGTCCAGTCACGGCACAGAAGGACTCGATGCTCAGGATCTGAAGGTTCAACATCACCGAGGCCTCGACGTCCCAGACGTCGGCTGGATACTTATCTTCCTCGATCGTTTGGGTGATGAGACCACCAGCCGCAAGTCCCATCTCCTCGACTGCCGGAGGTGGTGCCGCCATGGGACTGGAGACGGAAGCTGCGCACATCATCATCTCGGGACCGCCGCCAGGAGCCGCCATGGACTTGAGCCCCCCCATCATGCGCATCCGGCCTCGCATTGGCGTATCATGCACGACGCTGACGGTCGAAAAGTTTGGTGGGAAGTAGGTGTCTCCAAGCTTGGTATTATCGGAAAAGTCGATGCGGTACTTGTCAAAGCCTGAGCGATTGCCGTGGTCGCTGAGACGCTGTTGATCGACAGCAATGTCAAACTCGTCGCGGATGAGCTTCTTGACGTCCAGCCAGGTGCTCTCACCATTGAGACCCTTTTCCGCAACGTTGAAAGTCCGGGTGACGACCTTGTGCTCCTTGTTCTCGTAGCGGACGTCAAACTTAGTTGGGAGATTCTTCTTGATGGGAATCACTTCAATCTGGATGCCGCCAATGTTCTCCTCCCCGGTGACCTGGGCCTCGACCGAGAAGCCCGATCCCTTGGGCTGCGCAACGAATTGGCGGATCTTGCCGTCCTCTGATACGATGCCGTCCAGCCAGTTCTGGTCAGGTACCACCATGTAGTCCTGGATCTGCTTGCCGCTGTTGAGCATCCGCACGCGCTTCTCGAGCGTCTTTTCGTTCTCCGTCATGGGCAGGCCGGAAACCGCATTGACACCGCCAACGTAGATCTTGATAGCGAAAGGGGCCTGGGCCGAGAAGTTGACCCACATGGCCTCGCGCTGGTACATTGGGAAGAAGATGCCGCCCTTCTTGGCCATGTCCGGAGG